GCCCGGAGGGGGTGGGGCCTGCCGCTGCCGTCTCGCTCGGGGAACACTAGGGCAGCCTGGCTCCGTGCCTACGGTCAGTAGTAGTGCACTCTGCCCACGGTGCCCGTGCCCAGGATGTCCGGCTGGCCGTTGCGCCAGATCTCCCGGATGATACGCTCCCGTTCCTCCAGCCGCTGCGCCCGCTCCAGCTCCTCTGCCGAGGCAAAGACATTGACAGTCAAGGGGCCATCTGCCGGGCTGTGGTTCTCCAGGGGGATTTCCGTAATGGGCAGCAGGGACTCCACCGCCACGTTGTCCACCGTGTCCTCGTCCTCCTCGTCCTCCTCTTCGTCCTCGCTGATGTCCCGCAGGCTGCGCCGGGGCTGGGCCGGGAGGCTGTGGGTGTGCGGCTGGCAGGAGATGCGGAGACATTGACAGTCAAGGGGCCATCTGCCGGGCTGTGGTTCTCCAGGGGGATTTCCGTAATGGGCAGCAGGGACTCCACCGCCACGTTGTCCACCGTGTCCTCGTCCTCCTCGTCCTCCTCTTCGTCCTCGCTGATGTCCCGCAGGCTGCGCCGGGGCTGGGCCGGGAGGCTGTGGGTGTGCGGCTGGCAGGAGATGCGGATCACCAGCAAGCAGAGGGTTAACACCAGGCCGAAGCAGACGCCCAGGACAAAATAGAGGCCGAAACTCTCAGGATTGTCTGGCACGGAAACAAAGGGGAGGGGATTGAGTGGCAGGACCTGTCAGCCGGGGGCAGGACGGGCCGGGTGGGCATGTTTGGCGGGTGGCAACCTCTCCCAGGGCTCCTGTGGAGGGGCCCAAAGTGGGGGGAGGGAGGGTTAACCTCTGCCCTGCTCTCCTTCCCATCTCCCCAGGCGTATCTAGTACCCAAGGGGGCAGCCCAGAGCACAGCCTCCACCCCGGACACCCACCTCGGATGTGGGCGTAGGCGGCCATGCTGTTGCTCAGAAGTTCCATCTCCCGGTTGCGTGTCTCCATCGTGGCTCTCCCCTGGCTGAAGGGGGACGTGCCCGCTGCACCTAGGAGAGAGGGGGCTTGAAAAGGGGGCTGCCCAAGCACCACCCCCACCCCCTGCCTCAGCCCCTTGCCCCTTCCTGCTTCCCAGTGCTGGCTGGGGAAGGCCATGGCTGTCTCGGGGCAGGGGGAAGGACAGTCCAAGGGCACCCGGTGAGGACCAGCCATCATACCATTGCGGGATGAAAGCCGGCCACTGCCCTCGGGGGGGTCCTGTGACGGCTCCTCACGGGACACAGGAGCCTGGCCCAGTTCAGAGGAGCCTCGCTCCCCTCGGGCCCCTGCCAACGGGGGCTAATCGCACCAGGCCACTCCAGGAAGGTGTTCCAGCGCCCACAGAACAACACACCCCCTGCACGGAGGGGCGTCTCTGTGCTGATAGCAGCACTGGCACCACCCCTTCGCCACAGGCGATCGGGTACCAT